GAATACAGTTATCTAGATCCCCCAATGATAGATTTGGAATAATTTCAGCAATAGTATCCGGGAGTATAAGTATGTTATATGTATGCATATTGTATATATCAATCGTATGGATTTTATTAACTAAGACTTTTTATTTAATTGTTATATTATTACATAAAAATCTTTCCTTCAAAGTTGCATTTCGACAATATAATTCTGTTTGATAATCACTGCTCTGGACTGTGATAGTCTCTCCATTATTAATGATATATCCTGTCCATATGTCATATTCAAGATCTCGCCAATCTGTCAATTCTATCAGGCTCAATATTTGTGGAAGCTTAAAGTCATCAGAATTTATAAAAGTATGGAATAAGCCTTCAGAAGGCATCTCTATGAGATTTGATACCTGATTTTTTATATTAGGTAAATTATATACAAATTGTTGAAGTACCTTTTCTTTCCACTGTCTAACTGCCTTCTCGTTCCAATATTCCAAGATCATAACAAAAATTTCTTTCCAGTCATACCACTGAGAAGTGAATTCGGGGTTATCAATATCCCATTCATCCCTCCATCCATATTCTTTGATAAATTCATCATACTCTTCTTATATTCGAGATCGTAGTCATCTAGCATTGAGTCAATATATTGAATATTTATTACTCATGAAAAAAAAATCTTAATAATTGACCTAATTTCACGAAGCCTGACTCACTTGGCGAAATAACTAGGTTTATCTGATTACTGATATTGTGGTTTAAGCTTGAGCATCATTGCTCTTTTTTCAGCTTCTTCAGGAGATATTCCGGATGAAACCATACGCTTATATGCAAAAATTCGCCAATGCCCGTATGGAAGGGTTCGTATACCATCTAATAGAATCCAGCACTTATTATTATATGGATTTAGTCCAATTTTATTTACTCGTTCTAAATATATTTGGTGATCGTAACTGCGGAGACCATACATATCATATCGGGTTAGCTTTTTAGTCCTGAGACATTCTAAAAATTTATCATGCCGAAGCTCTCTCTTAACTACACATTTCTTAACGCCTTTAGCCTTTTGCATTCCATGCTTTTTCTGCCAGTCTTTCAT